TCCGGCAGATCTCGGCAAGCGCAGTCGGATCCCGCGAAGAAAAAATATAAATATTTTTTTTTGGGCCATTTTTTTGGGCCATCCGGTTTGCCAGTTGACCCCCTCTGGCCCGGTTCGGCCCCGGTTGGACCGGGTCAGCTCGACTGGCCGGTTGCTGGCCCAGCCCTGGGCCACTCGCCATTTCTTTTTTTTTCTTTTTGTGCTAGAGTAGTCTGTTTCACCGGTGAATATTTAGAAATCTGTGAAACCCGTCATACACCTCTCCCCTGCTCTTTGCATATTATACTCCTGACCAGAGTTGCCAGGCCGAACGTACGGAGGCCCCTAAGCTGACCTTCGGACGTTCGGGCGTTTGGGTCCCCGTACGGGGCCGGAACTCGAAGGGGTTCGGACCCTGCAAAAAAATATTTTGGTACCTAAAAATTATTAATTTCGTCTGATTTTTCTTTTGTGAGTTCTCTGTTATGTAGGATACCTGTCTCTCAATTTTGAAGTCATTCTGTGGAGCCAAACAATAATGAAAAATCGGCAAAGATGGTGGTGTCAAAACTTGCTTTCCCACTTACTAATTTGTTTTTTTTTCTCTTTTCACTTTTTGTTTTCCCTTTATTTCAGGGCCTGAGAAAAATTATTATTTTTTCAAACTTTATTTCTAGGTTCTCTATTATGTAAGATACAGATTTATAAAATTTCATGGCATTTGACAAAGCCAAAAAAAAATGAAAAATCGCCAAAGATGGCGGTGTCAAAAACTTGCTCGCCCAGGCAGTAATTTCATTCTCGTTTTATTTTTTCTTACTTTCATTAATATTATTTATTTTTCGTATTGATTTTTATTTCAAATGTGGTAAGGAATTTGGATGTACTGTTGAGGCAAATGTTGTTTAGTTTATTCTTCTGCATGACATATTGTTTTTTCAGAATTTTTGGAAACTTTTTTTTTTTTTTTTGGTTCCGCGTTCGGCCGAACGTCCGAACGCGTCGAGAGGGGGTCTCAAACGTTCGGGCGTTCGGGTTCGGATGTTCGGCCCGTCCCGAACGCCGGCAACCCTGCTCCTGACCCTATTCTATTTTTTTCCTTCCCGTTGCTCCTACCTCCCCTGCCCCATTTTCCTATAGAACTCCGCCTTCTATCCCTTACACGCCACCCTCCTCTCCACTCCCTTTGTAAGAGAATTAGACGATATGATGAACAGAAATGAAATGAACGGAAGTATGAAGATGAAGGACGGACACAAAGACTGTATAAGCTGAAGATCTGAAGTGAAATGAACAGGAGTACGAAGGTCTGGAGAGATGCACAGGAGCATACCTTCCCTTTTACTATGCCTCCTGAAATAACGTGCAAGTGGGCTGTGAAGGCACACGGGGATGTGGACAGTTGCCGCTCAACCACAATCAACGTGGGCAGCCTTGTGCGTAAGAGGCACAGTAAAAGGGGAGCTGCAAGAACAATAAAAGGGGTACCCCAAGGACAACCAAAAAACTGTCTAATTATAAAGTTGCTTTAATATGTTGGACATCTCAAATGCTCTCGTTGTCTGCAATAGGACAAAGACTGCTTTGATTCCAAATCTATTCACCTGGGTGGAATTGGGGCTGTTGTGGGGAAAATCTAAAACACACACACACACACACACAACTAGCGAGCTATTCTCTCTTTTTGTGGTTGGATATGTCTTGTTGGTTTTGTTGATGATACACGGGCTAATTCTTTGCCCTGCTTTAGACCATGGGCTGTTTGGATGTTTAGGGGTGGCCACGAGTTCTCTTTGGGGGGAATGTATGTTTTGTGGCTCGGTGTGGAAGGCTTTCCCATTTTTTTCGGTTCCTTAGCTGGGGGGGTCGGTGCGTTCTTGCTGGAGAAGTCTTCTGTCTTAGGTAAGTTGTCTCTTATCTTCTTCCTCCTCTTTGGCAGTGACGCGAGTGTGTAGTTTGAGACGAATGTCGGGAGGGCCAATGCTGTTATATTTTTTATGAACGAGTTTTTGGTTCTGTGGGCCGATGCGGAAGGCTCTCCAAGTTTTTTCGGACCTTTGAGGGGGTCGGGTCGGTGCCTTCTTCCTGGAGTAGTCTTCTGTCTTCGGCAAGTTGCCTTCTGCCCTCCATCCCCTTATTGTTTGAAATATATCTGTTTGACGATATATGTATACATATGTATATGTGCAAGTGTGCCGCTTTAGCGGCAGAGGGGTGTGTGGGAACTTGGCGCTGAACCACACAAACGTGGCCAACCTTGCATTTTCTACTATATTGCCTATCTATACTTTTTCTGTGAGGGAATGAGAGAAAGAATCTGGGGTCTTTTAAAACAACACACACACACACACACACACACACACACACACACACACACACACACACACACAGGTGTATCGCTAACTTTGGGCGATGTGGTGAGTCCTTATCCATCAGTCAAATGCATCCTGGGCAGACTGTCAGGGTTCAACCTCCTGATGAGTCGGTGAAAGTCCGACGGAACAGTCTGGTACAGTTGTGCTTTTTTTTAGCGTAAAGCGAATATGACAAAACACACACACGCACACAAACACACACGCACACACACACACACTCGTCGGACCACCCAAAGGCCAACCACTCAAACAGCCCTCCCCCAAGGCCCTGCTACCAGCATACTGCAACTATGGACTAAACCCCTTGGGTGGTGCGCAGGCAGTCTATAATAATTACCATGCGTCAGCGGAAGGGGAGTGTGTGAACGGCTTGTGCGCTATGAAAGCGCTGCCGGTGTACGTGCGAGGCAACGGAGTTTTGAACCCACAACCTCACACCACAATGTGCATTTCCAACTGGTGCTCTAACCACTGAGCCAACGGCCATCCAGAGATAAATAGGTTTCTTTTTTTTTTCTTGTTGGGCCGGGCTTGTGGTCCTGAGCCACTCTGGTAGCCTAGCTTCTTACACAACTGCATGAAAAAGTGGTAGTGGCCTGAGTGGGATAAAATCTTCGTCAATGGGTTAGCATAGTATATACAAAAGTGTGAAAGGCGCCTTGGGCAGGGTAGAGGTTAATCAATCGACAAGCTTGGTGCGATAAGGAGACCTGCTGCCCAAGACCCAAATCTTCTTCTTCATCATGGAAGCTATCCTGCCCTTTCTCCAGTGAGACCCTTCGACTCACAGGATGGCTCAACAGAACCCAGGCTTGTAGCATGGATGGGCCCTACCTACAGTTTTCACGTTCGTAGCTGGTCTGATGGTACAATATGAGCAATGGATTTTCCTTCCGAGCTCTGGTCAGGGCCATTGAGGCCTTCACGCTGGGTTTTGAAATGAAAGTCAATTGGTCCAACATACGAGTATCAAGGATCTTCCAACTCACGCCCCCCTCAACCTTCAGTAATCAAAGTGAGGGGATGACCTGAATAGTCAGACAAGAAGTGGTGATCAGGTACCTTGGGATCATGGTCAACTAAGAGAGTTTGTGGCCATGCATGGGCCAAATACTCCTGTCCAAAGCCTTTAACAAGCTGTGTGCATGGATGCAAGAACGCTTTCTGCACCCTCGTTGGCAGGGCACTTATCATTAGTGCAGAAAATTCTCTTTACGCTATGGTATTTCTGAATCCATATGGTCTCCACAACAGAACTGGAATACTAAATAAAAAGAGCTGGATATTCTTGTGGACAGGGAACCCAGAGAAGACTGTATGTATTCCCAAGATGGCCTTGGAAAGTTGGAATGAAAAAAAAAAAAAAAGATGGCCTTGGAATGTGTCACCAGAACTTGCTGACGGAAAGACGCCTGGGGCTTATTGATCACAAACAAGAAATTGTAGGCTTACGGATGAAATTGATTGCGAAACTACTTATGACCGAAGAGCCAGCCTGGACTTAACTTGGCGGCTCCAAGCGTATGCCAACTGAGCCCCAAGAGAACACCAACTAAAGCGGAGGGTCAGTTTTGGCTGACAGTTCGGGCTCTGGTTATGAGATCAGGGGAATGAAGAAGGCAAAGGGGAGTTCCACACAAAGAGAACGTGTTATGTCCTCAAACCACACTGGGCTTCCGTCATCATGTAGTACAGTTTTCCCCCGAACACAACGCACTCTGAAAATGAATGTATATAAGCTCTCTTTCCGGTTTGGTACAGCCATAATCAGGGTGCATTGTGTTCGGGGGACCACGGTAGGAGAAGTGTATGCCTCACTGCAGGGGACCCTTGGTCGCTCACAAAGAACAATAGCAGGTGGCTTTTTTGGGTGGAGACAGGAGCGTTGATGATCCGGCATAAACGAGACGGCGATCAAGCAGCTTGGTGCACCAAACACGATCCGAGAACGACATTAAAGCGATACCAGCCACCTAAAAGGAAACCCTAAAGACAATCAAGGACCGTCTACCTCTGGCATGGAGAGAGCTTCTGAAACGAAAATTCATATGGAAAACACAAGACTATGGAGTACTGCAGGCTGGCCTCGACTGGAGTAGAGTGCTGAGATTTGAGAAATGAACCCCTTTTGGCAACTATAGAGCGCAAGTCGCATCATTCCCAATCAGAGTCGTCAGTGAAGATACGATCATTGTCAAAAGCCTAGACGCATCACAGTATGGGTGGATGCTACACTGTAAGGGGGTACTCACACTACCGTCTTCACCCGAATAGAACGCCTGGTCGTTACCGCTGTATCTAGACTGAAAGTTGCACCAGATACGCCTGTAATGACCGGACTTTCTATTCGGGTGAAGACGGTAACACAACTGTGCAAAATCTATTTTTAATGGAAGCGAAGTCTGCACGGGGCGACACCTCATGAGGTTGTATTCTCGCAATGGAATCATAATTCCAACTTCATTTCCCCCCTCCCCCTTCCCCCGCTTTCTTATGACGACCACACCACATGGGGTGTATGGATGAGTTTGCTCTGACGGTCGAAGTTACCTGCAATATGGTGATGGATCTATTGATTATATTCCCTGCATCTTTTCATGGTGCGGTGTAAAATTATCAGTTTACGGTATGGTGGTAGACTGATAACTTTATTGCGTGGACCTTCTGATTTTTTTCTTTTCTCAGAATTATTAGGTTTTTCTTTTTTTTTTCAAATTAATTAAGGGAAACGAAGAACTGCAAGGACTTCTTTTTTGAAGTTTTCAGGTCTCTTTTTTTTTTTTTTTTTTCCCAGCATGGTCGGTGAATGAGTTCAGAGAGAGGGCCAGGTCTAGAGGCACCAAGGTGTGTACAGCAGCTGACAAAATCCAGCGTGGAGTACTCTGGCAACTGAAATAGGGGAAGGGTTGGTGGGACACAATAATGAAGGAAGGTTCTTCTAGCTTTGAGGTAGGCCCCACGTCAAGTGGAGCTGACGATGGGCCCCGAAAGCGGCGGACTGCTTTTGGTGACTCATTCACTGGAATTGGAGGGCCTGTTGCCTTCAATAGAGATGACGGGCTAAGTAAAGGAAGAGGACCTGGTGAAGGGAGTATTGGTGATGGTGACAATAGTGGAGGGGATGGCGATTTCGACAAAGGCACCAGAAAGAGGAGGAGAGGATTGTCAGGAGGAGAGGAGGCAGAGCTCTTGGATGTGGGCGAAACAAAAGACGATCCATCTGTTCCAGGCCTTAAACTTCGTTTGACCCGGAAGGGAATTTCCTTCAGTATTTCCAAGATAAAGAAGCCAGAGGACGGGGGTCCATTAATGAGTGGGGGCTGTGATGTAGCCGAAGAGGGTGAAGAGATGGAACAAGAGGGGGAGGAGGGATGGGCAAGAGAATTGACGAAGCAGCAAAAGAGGAAGAAGTCATCTCCTGGGTCATCACCAAGCCGTTTTGGGTTGGACATGCGGCCATCGGAAGGCGGCGCAGCTGGGAGGAAGGGAACTGGTGAGGAAGGAGGGACAGTGCCAACAGATAAAAAGGCGAGCGCCAACATATCTGCTATAGAGGCGGAGCCAGAGGAAGGTCAATTTGGAGTTGAGAAAGTGGTTGCCAAAGAAGGGGAAGCAGCACTGTATAAGTCCGTGAGGCCGCATGGCTCTTCGCTGGCTGCCACACCAGGAGACTCTGTGCAAGAAGCGGGTGGCAGTGTAGGCGGTGGCCTGGGAGATGGAGGGAACATGCCGGTGCAGGTGGTTAAAGGAGAGAAAATTCCAACTGGAATGGTGGGAGCTGGTTCAACCCAAATGGTCTTGGAAAATCTCTCCCAAGGCCAGCAGGTACTTGCACAAACTAGCGAGGGTGAGACTGGTGTTGGGCCAACAGCAGCAAAGCGCCTAGGAGCAGACCCTACGGTTTCGGCAATCCAAGCCGGCAAAGGTACGCTTGCACCAGCTCCAACCTCTGGAGGACCTCTGCCAACCGGTGGTGCGGTAGCTGCTAAGGATGCAGCTCTGAAGGAGGTGTACAGAATTCCTAGTCATGCTGGGTGGTTTGTTTGGAATAAGATTCACCCCATCGAACGACGTGCGCTGCCGGAGTTTTTTAACGGACGTTCTGCATCCAAGACTCCCAAAATATACAAGGAATATAGAGACTTCATAATCAGCAAGTACAGAGAGAATCCATACAGGTTACTGACGTTCACGGAAGTTCGGCGGATGCTGATTGGGGATGTGAATGCTATCCGCCGTGTGTTTGAGTTCTTGGACCACTGGGGTCTGATCAATTACTTGGCAACGGATGATTCAAAGATCAAGCTGCCAGCGTGGGCAGGTTCTCCAACCACTCTGGTTGAAGATGCACCAGGAGGCTTGCGTATTGTGTCACCAGCAATGACTCCTGCGAACAGCCTCTACAAATTCGAACCACCTCATGCCGGACCGCCTCCAGCAGCAAAACCTTCTGGAGGACTTCTGAGCACAAGAAAGAACGTGTACGCTCAGGCTGCTTCAGATGCTGCACTGAAAGAGATGGTGGGTGCAAAGGTGCCTGTTGTGGAGTATCACTGCAATGCATGCGGGACAGACTGCTCCCGGCGTCGTTATCACTGCCAGCGTCAGGCAGACTTCGATCTGTGCCCAGATTGTTTTGCTGACGGAAAATTTGGGCCCGGGATGACAGCATCAGACTTCATTAGGATGGATGCACAGTCGGAGAGAAACGATCCCAATAGTGACGAGTGGACAGATCAAGAGACACTCCTCCTCCTGGAAGCTCTTGAGCTTTATGCAGGTGATAATTGGCATGAAATCGCCGAGCATGTGGGGACAAAAACCAAGGCTCAGTGCATCCTTCACTTTATCCGGCTGCCCATTGAGGACCCCTTTCTTGAAGAGATGGAAATGGGTGGGGCAGTACATACTGTGGACGTGCCTGCTGCTCCAGCAGATGTCTCGCAGCCATCAGAGCCCAAAGGAGGGGAAACGGCACATGCTGCCCAAGGCTCCGGTGGTAATGCACTGTTGGCAGATGCCCAAATCAAGGATAGGGAGGGAAGTGGAAAAGCGAGTAGCAGTGCACCTGATATGGGTGGAGATGGCTCAGGGGAGGCTACAGATGGCAAGAGTAATAAGCGTGACGAGGAAAAGGACAATCAGGAGGGTGAAACTGCAAAGCTTGTGGAAGCAGAGAAAAACTCAGGCAAGGAAGAGACCATAAAGAAGGTGAAGGAAAGCAGAGGGGCCCCTGACAACTCGGAGGACTTGGTTGAGGCTTCTGCTGTGATCGCCACAGCAGCTAGAAAAGTCCAAGGAGAAACCCTTATTTCGAAGGAGCATCTCCCACCATTCGCGGATGCATCCAATCCAGTCATGGCGCAGGTTGCATTCCTGGCAGCTATGGTGGGGCCGCGGGTTGCAGCAGCAGCAGCGCAATCAGCCTTGGCTGCGCTTATGGAGGAAGGCCAGGGACATCCACCAACATCGCTGGAGTTAAGCAAGCAGGGAGTTGCAGGGCTTAAGGACACTGGAGTTAGCACACACACAATGCTCACAATAGAGAAGGCCAGAGGAACAGAAGGTGTCACAAAGGCAGCTGGTACGGCTGCGCAAACACAGATTCTTGCTGGGAAGGATAGTAGCAAGCCCACCTCTTGGGACCGAGGAATGGAACTGTCATCTACAGTTGCTGCCCCTATGGAAGTAGACGCGAAAGACAAACCAACAACAGAAGAAGCTGGTGCTTTCTCGGCAGGTGTCCCAGGTGGCAGCAAGGAAACTGGTGACAAGGAGACGCGTTTGGAAGCCGCTCCACGAACAGAAGGTGATGATGGGGCAGAGGAAGGGAGTGCGAAGCATGAAGCAGCAAAGCCTGTTGAAGAACCCCCTTCAGCACTTCAGGTCAGAGCAGCAGCGGCAACGGCCATAGCTGCAGCTGCAGTGAAAGCAAAGCTTCTTGCAGATCAGGAAGAGCGGGAGATTCAGCGGCTGGTTGCCAGTGTCATTGAAATGCAGCTGAAAAAACTGGAGATAAAGTTGAGGTACTTTGATGAGCTGGAAGATCTGCTTGAGAAGGAGCGTGAGCAGATTGAACGGGCACGCCAGAAGTTGTTTGAAGACCGGGTCCGCCTTGCTGCTTCTCGACTCGCACGAATGCCTCCTCCAGCGCAGCTCCTGTCTGCCATGCCAGCTGGAATTTATCAGCCAACTCCTACCACACATCCAAACGGATCGACTGCAATGGTTTCAGCAGGCACCCCACCCCTGGCAGCAGCTGTCAATGCAGAGGGGAACAACGCCTCCACATCCGCACTGCCACCGCTATCACCGCTTGGAGCAGCTGGGAGTTTGCCAGGGACTACGGTTGGTGCTGCTTCACCTATGCAGACATCACCGCCAGGTGCTCCTCCTCAGGTTTCAGCCATCCCAGGGGGAACGGCCTATGTAGGGACAGTGCCATGCCCAACGGTTCCTGGAGGTGGTACTTCGTCTGCTGCAGTATCTGCATTGCCCACAAGAAGCCGGTCAATCCCTGCGATTGTCACAGGCCAATCTGCAGCGACGCTTGGACCATTGGCAAACCCAGGAGCATCCATTCCAAATTACTCTATGCATTCTTCCATTGGGGGATCCCCACTTGGCAGTGTGGCTGGAGGAGGGGGAAAAGGTGCAGCAAGGGGCTCTGTGAAAGGTTCAGGAACTGTGGCAAGTCACTCTTCATCGAGTTTGGGCATTGCCGCCACTGGTATTGCAGGCACTGACAACCAGCCTCCTCCTCCAATGGGTGCCATATTGTCAGCGTTGCCACCCCCTATGACAAATATCAATCTGTCATCAAATGTGAACCACTCCAGTGGATTACCTCCGCCGACAGCAACGCAAACAGCGAGCACTGCTGCTACCACGTTGCAGCCTTCACTGCAGCAAGGAGGGGTGTCATCCTCTATTCAACAGGCAATTGCCCCTCTCACAACAACAAGTGGGAATTAGTTTGGTGATTCTTTGGCACGCTGGCCTTTCCCAGGTCGTGTTTGCATGGATCGCCAAAGGCGACCTGCCAGGGTGACTGTCTGCAACAAAGGAAAAGTTCTGAGTGGGCAGGCAAGGCCATGTGGGAGTGGGGAGAGGAGTACGGTGGTGCGTAGAGGAGCAAGGCACCACACCAAAGCAGCTCGAGGATTGGCATACTACATCTGGTCTGAAGGCTTCATGGTGGATCGAAGAAGAGGAAGAAGCTCTGCACGAAGCCGAAGAAGATCAAACGCAAGAAGAAGGTGGTCAAGCTTGCGACCTTTCAGTATTGTAAGATAGATGATACAGGAGACTCAGAGGAGAGGTCACTCGTTTTTGGAAGCGGTGCCTTCATCGGGAATGTGGGCCAGGAACTATGGCCAACCATTTTGATCGATCTCAAGTGTCGTTCCGTGCCTGTACCAGAATGCCTCTCAGGATTGAAGTTTGGCAGTAAGGCTCTTTTCTGGCCTTCATGAGTGAAAAAATAGGGATTTAGGAAATGGAGGGCTCACTGCCAATCATCCGAATGATTCAGTTGAATGGGGCAAGGAGGCCATTTTCTGGGGTGTTTATTACGTTCGGCAGCTTTCACAGCCTCTTCCAGGCTGTTCGATAAGCATTTCTGATGCGAACCACGGAATCGGTTTAAAGGTTTTGAGCCTTTGAAATAAGTCTCCAACTTGGAAACGAATCTGGACTTGTAAAATTTTATCCCTTGCCTGGGCCCTGGATTTTGTTGAGGTCAACCATTCTCTTGAGTTTGCAGTAACTTTTTACTTGTGCTGAGATCTACCGGTTGCCCAAACACGCCATATTTGCTCATTAGTTCGTGTCTGTTATGTGGGGAAAAAAATAAAAATCGTTGGGATACTGATTTTCAATGCAAAGTGAGTGAGTGATGCAACCGAAAAATGAGACTTCAGTTTACATTATCTATCTTTTGAGGTCCATGGCCGTAATCTCTCACTATCCTGTCATGGGATCATCACCTATGGCACCCAACACTTTGATGGAGGCTCAGTGAATGCTGAGTTGCGCTCCCATACATGATGATTAACATCATGGAAACACATCGGCGAGTAATATGGGTGCACCCAAGCGCCAATGCATTTCACTTGGGTGCATGCTGCATCATTGCACTCATATGCTGCCATATTGGCAGTCTGCATTTTGTGAATATGCTCCTATTTCGTGATATAGAAAAATTGTACAATTCTCACAGATCCTGAATCGTCAAAAAAAAGAGAAAAGTTCTCTTTTTTTGCTGTTTCAGAGTGTTTCTACCTTTCCAACTTTCATGTTGCAATCATCAAACTCGTGTTGGATAAATTCCGATTGACATTTTTCATCTTATGTTCAACATTTGAGCTTGGAGTCAAATTCGTGTGCAGTACATCTTTCAGAATGTGAATGGTACATGCCTGTCATGGTCCTGAGTAGTGGTCCCCTCTCAGGCCTTTTTTCGTAGGGGGGCACCTGGGTACGGAAGACTGCCAATCCCATCTGGGGTACCATGGTATGGACTTCTATTCCTGTGCATATATGGGTTAATGCTGACATGCTACTCTCGTCTGCTTTGGACACACGTCTTGGATTGGAAACCAGAAAGGCAAAAGAGAACCAGGGAAAAGCAACATCTTGTGTTTCTTTCTGTTTTCTGTTGTTGACCCATATCTGCTGGCCAAGATTTCTGCTGATGGGTTTTTGACGAGTCGCTGGAGGCTGGTTCTTCACTTTTTGCTTGTCGGGGATTCAAACCATGACCATGGTTTGCTGGTTAGTGGCTCGTCATGGTTTGCTTGGGGGTTGTTTGTGATCCAGGATGACCATGGTTGAACCTTTCATGGTTTGTTGTGGAGTGTTTCTGCATGGTTTGCTTGGGGGTGGTTCTTGGGTTCTGGCAGGTTGTTCATGCTTCAGACCATGGTTCATTGGACATGAGCTACATGATGTGAACTATGGAGTGCGAGATCAGGCATGTGTGAGACGGTTTCCAGCACGTCACAATCCTCTTGCTCATGGTTCAATCCGGGGCATGCTGGATATGGGTGAGTGACGTGTGAGCTCTCAATTTGGAAACTGCGATTGAGCTTGCTCAAGGGTGCCCAACATGTCACTCTCCTTGGGTGCAATTTTCCGGGGGAGGTGGCAGATCTCCAAATGTTTTCATTTGGCAGGAAGTGCTCCCCATTCTTTGCAGCACAGGTGGGAACAGTGTCAAGCAATATGCACATCAGGGTTGCCGGTGACAGCCACAGAGGCTGGGATCGTGTCAATTGAGGAAACTTTCCAGCAGACAATGGACTCGGTTGGCCTTCATCCGAATGAAGCAATAGGTAGGCGTTCAGCTTTATCCTTTGATGGGAAAAACATGTGTGTGCTGGTCTTGCAAGGCCCACACATTCTTCTTACATCCAGCCAAAATGCCATCTGCAGTCCCCTCTTGTTTGCATGCAACTTCTTACGTGCCCCTGAGCGCTATCTGCAGTCCTCTTGTTTGCATGCAACGTGTAACAAAAGCAGGAAGGTAGGGGGGCAGCACAGTTGTATGTTGCATACCCATCAAGCAGGGCTATTGTGTTGGGCTTGTAGTCTCTTTCTTAACTACAGGCTAAGCCCTCAGTACCTCCAATGAAATTAGAAGCCTATTGCCTGATGAGCGCATAGAGATCGGCCCAATGGGCCCATTGGAAAATCTGCTATGGAGTGTGTAACAACTCACCTGCTGAGTCATCAAAACCGGAAAACGGATGGCACTGAAGCGCGTGACCTATGCTTACCCGCTATGGCCATTCTGATGCCACGACAAGTAGGAGGGCGTGGGGCCTGCTGCGAAGCCAGGAGCATGCGCCTAGGTGAAGGAGCTTCCAGCTCCTGAGACAGTGTAATCACATGCCAATCGGACAGTTCAGAAGATGGTCCAGAAAGAGACCAGGACAGGCCACACCCTCCCTCATCTCCCATAACCTCTCCCTCTCTCTCTCCAGATGCCAGCCCTCTTTTTCCGTCTCTCTCTCTCTCTCTCTCTCTCTCTCTCTCTCTCTCTCTCTCTCTCTCTCTCTCTC